GGGGGGGTGGGAAAGAGGCTGCGGGCACCGGTCCAGCAGCCCTAATGGAGCCGGGGGGCAGTGTGGAATAGGTAAATAAATCTGTATTACTCCAGCCCCCAGACATAAATTAGGAGGGGAGACTGAGGAAATGTTTCCTCCTGCCTGCAGCAGACTGATGACATCATCTCAGCCTAGGCAAAGTCACGGACTCGAGCTCAAAGGACAGATTTTTTGAATGATAAAGGGTGAAGGTGTCTGCAGCAGACTGATGACTATACTAATGGAATGAATGTCAAACTCTTAGAGGACACCTCCAAGCATCATGTTTCCCATGATTAGAATTGCCGATAGCCCCACCCACCTGCTCCGGTGTCCGGCTGTACAGCCTCTCCAGCTGCTCCTTCCTCCGACGTTCATGAGCGGCATCGAACACCGCGCTCTTCATCTCTGTACCAGGAGTGGCGCGAATGCTTCCCAGCTTCGCACAGATGCTGTAATAACGATCTTTCAGGTCTTCTGTGGACCTTTTCTGTAAAAACAGAGAGAAAAAAATTGGAGTATTAGGGATGCAGCGATACTAGTATCGGTATCGGTGCCGAGTATTTAGGCGAGTACTCGTACTCGCCAAAATGCTCCGATGCCCGGCCCGATACTTCCGGTATTAAAGGAGAACTATGAGGGGGGTGCTTGTCACTCACCTCATAGTTCTAGCCGACCTGTGACAATGAGACTGTCACAGGTCGGCTCAGTAGATCGGGAGGTGAGCGAACACATACCGGGTTCGCTCACGTCTCGATCCTGTCACGGCTCTCTGCCGTGACAGGGGAGGGGCTGGATTCCCCTCTCCCCGCTCCGATCTGCCAGCGCTGACTGGCGGAACGGACGGGGGAGGGGGCGGGTACAGCTGGCTCTGCCTCTAGATAGCTGTCACTCACGCAGCTGGGCGGATCTCGACGTCTAAGTCGGGATCCGCTCCGCCGTCTCAGTATACCGCGAGCTGTAGCTCCCTATATACTGAGCTTAGGGTGACGGGAGGACGCTAGTTTGTGTCCCCCCGTTACCCTAAGGAGAACTATGGGGAAAAACACTGACCCCATAGTTCTCCTTTAAGAAGCCGGGCAGCGTGTCATTACACAGCGCCCGGCTTCCTGATTGGCCAGAAAGTCGGCTCCATCCTTTCTCGTCACCTAGCATGGGGAAGGCTTCCCTGCTAATCAGGAAGCCGGGTTTCATTACACGTCGCCTGGCTTCCTGAATGGGACTTCCAGTACTCAGTATTCGATATCAGCGAGTACCGCAAAAAAAATATCGGTACATCCCTAGTGAGTTATGCTGGGAAATCAGTTCTATTCCGTGACACGGAATAGAACATACAGGGGTACAGGTACTCCTAGAATGAGATCCTAATAGGTTGGACTTGATGGACTAATGTCTTTATTCAACCTCAAATACTATGTAACTATGGCACTATGTGACACAATATCGGGGTTACCTGTGAAACAGATATTCAGGTATTGAAAGCGTATCTAAACCCAACACCAAAAATGTCATATACTGCAGCTCAAAAGATGTGGTGGCGGCATTAGTTTTTTTTTAGCCCGTCCCTTTATTTTCACCCAGCCCAGCCCCCCTCTCCTCAAAATATGAAAAAAAGGAGTTGTGTCAATTAGAAAGATACTAAATATGTTGCTGAACAACTACAGTACCCCAAATTGTCCTTTAAAAACCTTTACAGGTCATCATAGAACAAATGACTTCCCCAGTATTAATATTATTGCACTCACCCCGGCATGTGAGGCGATACAGAAGTGTGGTGCAATCCTCATGTGTGTGTTTGTATGCGCGTGGATGCAGGCGGCTTTAAAAATGACCCATAATGCCCCCCTCTGCTGAACCTGATCAGCTTCTTCCCTGACCAGAGAGGGCGGAGTTTGTCAGCTCTGAACACCAAGTGATCCGAGCTGAGAGCGTCTGGGTTCATACTACCCAGGGGAGATCTCTGACCTTCACTATGGAGGTGCTGGCAGGGCAGCCAACAGGGGGGGGTACGGCCGATACTCATGTAAGGGGCCCGGGCAGCCTGGGGGGCCCGCCCGGGTCCCTTACATGACTATCGGCCGACGGTGAAGGGCAAGGAGGCGGAGGCCTGGCCCTAGCAGCGCAGGGCCCCAGCATTGCCGCTCCAGCGGCTTTGAGACAAGCTGGGGCCCCCATCAGCGACACTGCTCGTCTGATGTCGGACTGGCCGGAAGTGACGTCACATCTGGCAGACGAGGCCATGTGTGCAGGTAAGAGGAGCTAGGAAGGAAGGAAAGGAGGGAGGGGAGGGATGCAGCCCTGACCAGCCCACCTGAGACCCCTTCAGAGCCCACCATAGACAGTCTCAGATGGGCTGTGCAGCATCTATGGTGGGCTCTGCAGGGTCACTCTCAGGTGGGTCCTGCGTCCAGCGCGTCACTAAGCCCGTGTCCAGCGCGTCACTTAGCCCTGCGTCCAGCGGTGCGGGGGGGGG